TGTCGGCTGGGCTGCACTCCTCCTGAAGGCTCTAGGGGAGAATCGTGTTTCTTGGCTTCTCCAGCTTCTAGAGGTGGCCCACACTTCCTGGTTCCCTGCCCCTTTCTTCCAACTTTCAAGCCAACAACTTTGCATTTCTCTGTGCCTTCTTTCACAGTTGCTTCTTTTCTCCAACTGACCCTCTTCTGTTTTCCTTTCACCTTCAGAACCCTTGTGATTACATTGGTCCCACCCAGATAATCCTGATTATTTTTCTACTTTAAGGTCAGTTTATTAACAACCGTCATTCCATCTATAACCTTAAGCGCTTTTGCCATGTAACCTAACCTATTCACAGATTCTGGGCATTAACATGTGGGCATTTTTGCAGGGCCCTCATTCTGCCTACCACACACTTATTAATATTTAGGCCAGAGGTCACACCAACCATCATGTGACTTTGAATTGTGGGTTTGTATCAGACAGCTTGATCCCTGGAATCTGACCAGCCAGCTGTACATGTGGAACCCTATCATTTCATTAATCTCACAATAGTTTCCTGATTCTTAAAAATGTAGTCAATTCATTTATGAGCTCCATTTATCACATCATGTGAAGTTTTAAATTATATTTTAACAATATGAATTGGTTGGGCAAGGGATGGGAGGTGGGTGGGGACTAGGTTAAGAAGCCATTACAATAGCCAAGTAAAGGGGAAGAAGGGCCTGAATGAGGGCAGTGCATGGAAATGTGAATGGAAACAGGTTTGAGAGGTGGTGTGTTCAGGCCTAGGGATCCAGGGATATGCAAGAGGTAAAGGGGAGAGAAAAGAAGGATGCTGAGGAGGCTTCCATGGTAGGATGCTTTGTAGAAGCTGGTATCCTTTCCAAGGCTAAAATTTATAAGAATGTGGAAATGATTGGATGTGGAAAATAAAAATTAATTTAAAGATTCAAGAAGTCTCCACAGGGTTGAATATAAATGATTCAGATATGATGGTATCAGGGAAAAAAGGGAAGTTAGGAGGCAGAGCCAGTTTTATGGGATAGCAATGAACCGATGTTTGGACCAGTTCTGGATGGTTCGTAGTAGGCAGCATGAACTTCATTCAGTTGCCCCTGCATTTGTGTTAGTGATGGGTTGTTTCTCTTAATCTTTAGTGAAAGATTTCATTTGAGGTATCTCAAATAAAGGCTACAACACAATGATAACGTTGTCTTTGTAAACCCAACTGATTAGCATAAAATTCTGGTTCTTCCAAAATTATAAATTTTAATTGTTATGATAAACAAATGAACAGCTGATGATAAGGTAAGATGATGAGTGCTAAAACAGACAAATAAAGCATGGTAAGGGGAGAGAGGAAAATGTGGAGTTGTAGGTGCTGTTTGAGATAGATTGATTAGTCAAGGAAGTCTTCTCAATACATGAACTTGGACTAGTCTCCTGAAGGAGGTAAGGAAGGGAGCCATGTGGATATCCAGGGATCAGTGGTCTAAGAGGAGCAAGGAGCTAGTTCACATTTCCGCAGGGCAGAGCACACAGTGTGCAATAGTGTGGAGGCCAGTGTGGCTGGAGCAGGGTGAACCGGGGAAAATTGGAGAGAGAAGGGGAAGGATGGCAGTGGGCAAAATAAAGAATTTAGGTGACTGCAGATAATGGGGGAGAGGGTATCAATTCTCCTTAAGAATTTGTTCACCTTCTTCCTATAGAGATTAATTCTGTGGCCTTTTAAATTGTGTGCACACTTCTCCCTATTCCACACACACAATGGTGAGTGCATACCTGGCATTGCACCTCACAGCAGTGAAGCGTGACTTTGCTACTGATTTCCAGGGAGGTTAATGTTGCCTTTGATGGTGAAGTTAACCACTTTTCTGGCTTCAGCTCTTTGTCCTTTCCCACCTTGGCTAAACCTCTTTTATGCTCTTACTCTGGCTTCTTTGTGACCTGGATCAGGCCATGCTTGTTCCTAGCTCAGGACTTTTGAACCTGAGTTCCTTTGCTTGAAACTCACATTTAGATCTTTGCATGGCTGTCTTCCTTTTGTCGTGTAGTGCTCACATTGTATGTCACCTCAATAACCATTGTGTAGGTTTTTCGGAAAGTTTATAAAGGTATTTGGGAAAATAGAGAGGATATCTATTTATTCTATATTACTTCTCTCTGGCATTCTGCACAGCTATGTTCCTGAATCAAACGAAGTACTTATTTTTCAAGTGGCAACTTGTAGAAAAGAGAAGGGTGATTCAGTGGTGGCTTGAAGATTGGGATAATGCACACTGTTCAGGGCTGTCCTGATGAGCACATGGAAGAAGGAAAAACATAGCTTACCCAGGAACCCAAAGGAGACTTTCTTGCTGTGTGGTATCATGTTTAATAAAAATATGTATGCTAAGAATGAAGTGCTTAAAGCAAATATGAAAATGTTCATAATAAATACCCTGTTCTTGCCAACAGCTCTTGTAAACTGTAATAATTTATCTCCCATCAGCAGTATTTCTTTGCTAATTTCATAGCTGTATCCGGGGCCGTTGTTGCTTCTTTCTGGGGAAAAGGGGAAGATACATCACTGGCTAGTGGTAGATTCATCGCAGTCCTGGGGAAAAAAGCCATGTGGAGGCAATCAACATACACTATTCTTTTTGTCTTTTAAGGGATAGATAATATTACCTTTTTCATCTTTCAAGGGGAGAAGTGGGTGTTTTCTTATGACACCGTCCAGATTTGGCATATTTGGTAAGTCCTCTCTCCCCAGGTGCACTGAGTGGTTTGTGAAGTGGACCCCCAATGCCGCTTGACAGGAGAGGACTGGCCTGACTGGAGCTGATGTTCACGCTGAGCTACAGCAGTGTCTGTTTTAGACAGAGGTTGTCCAAAGAATATTTCCACAGGATATAGGCAATTTAGGGGAAAACCAATATTTCTGGGAAACTCTGGGTTAAGCACAGTTTCTGCAGGCAGGACTTCTCAGAACTTTTAGGAGAACAGGCATTGATTATGAACCTACCACGAAGTGGTAATATATGGCTTATTTCTTAAATGTGTTTGGCCACAGAAAGTTTTTTCCTGGTTGAGACTTGAGCAAAATGCACTTTAGAAGAGATATTTCAGACAAATGCCATGGGCGGTCAGTTGGCTCCCTAGAGAGAACTGCAGCTCTAACCAACCCTCCACCATCCAAGGTTCTCTCAACTCCTTTAATCCATACACTTTGTAATTTCCAGCCAGGAGGGCACACATCCAGTTTCCAGGCATATCACTGACTTGGTATTTGGGTCCTCCTCAGCTGTTACAGAATCAAGGACTGATGGATTAGGACCACTATCCCCCATATTGAACACTTAGTTCTTACAAATGTATTTTATATGCCCAGGGAATATTATCAGACCTATGATACCTGCATAACTTGAAGTTCGTTGTGAACTTTAGACCTCCAAGCTAGCTACCTTACGGTTTTTAGTGTCCATTTCACCAGAGGCAGAGAATGCTGAAGGATGTCGAAAGAAAGGTTGCAGGGTCCTCTGTTATCTTCACAGGACACTGTGACTCACTGAGGTGAAGGCACTTACACTTAGTGAGTCAGCAGTCCAAAATGGTAACTCAGGTCCCACATTCTAATGTCCACATATAATTCCAGGACCTAGCCATTACCGGACCTTCTGGTATTTTGAACATCCTGATTGAAACTTGGTTCAGTAGGATTTTTCAGGTTTAGATCGACTCCAGGGAAACCCCTGGGCAAAAGATTAAGCTTCCAGGGTTTCTTGGGTCTTGGCCTATTCATAGGTCCCATAAGGGACCCAACTTATTTTACTTACTTATACCCCAAAATATTTTAGACTTTGTAGTCTTACATAAAGACCTGTAGCTTACTTAAGGATCTATTGGTAAATGAGAGAAAATTTTAAATAATTTGAATGATAAAAGTAAGATCAAGGATAAGGGAATGTAAAAAGGATAAGTTAGGAGCAACATTATTCCTGTCACATTTAATGCCCATAATTGCTAGGCTACACACATTACACAGGCCAAATACCGTATTCATATGAATATTAATACATGACTTGGGTAAGACTGACAGCACTAAATGAAAATTAATTTTGCAAAGCAGGATGGATGCAGTTTCCCTTGGAAGCATTGAAGCATCATCCAGAAAAGAAAATTGAAACTGATTACAAAATTTCAGCTTGAGAACTTTCCACAAAGTTGCATTCTGCACATAATTTCAGCTTGTAGCACTGGAAAAGATTTTTAAATGTTGCTAAAAGACGAAGACACTATTTGAAGAATAATCTTTTTTTTAACATTTTATTTATTTATTTTTAGAGAGAGAAGGGAGGGAGAAAGAGAGAGAAACATCAATGTGCGGTTGCTGGGGGCCATGGCCTGCAACCCAGGAATGTGCTCTGTGACTGGGAATTGAACCTGCGACACTTTGGTTCACAGCCCACGCTCAATCCATTGAGCTACGCCAGCCAGGTTGAAGAATAATCTTAATAAACATGTATAGCTCAGATATCTTTTCATAATCATACTCATAGCTATTAAATTCTTCTAGGCAGGATCTTTTAGAAACTACAATACATTTTCAAATACGACATGTGGAGGTGCCTATAAGAGACTCAAATCTCAGTTGCCCTCACTCATCACGGAGACAGCACATTGTGCTCTCGGCGGCGACGAGTATTGAGAATCTGAAAACAATGCTCGGTGATGGATCGCAGCCTCCATTTGCATTATCTTCTAACAATTAAAAAAGTTCTAATTTCAAGACATTCTTCCCAGGACTTGGTTATGAAAAAAAGCAGGGAAGGATAATCGATGAGATTTTCTTGATTTTTGACTACTCCATCTGAAAGCTCTATGCCACATTTCAGCTCAGATTAACCCTCTTTGACTCTTTCTTCTCTCCCCAATGTAGTCACCAATTATTCTGGTTTTCACCTTTTGTATAATTTTTTCAAGCGGTGGCGGAAAATTAAACTTAGTGAAAATGGTCCCACCCCTGGGAGTCTTACCTCTCTCGAGAGCCTGCACAAATGCCACAGCGAGCAGGAGAACCAGGACCCTCCTCATTTTCCTGCTGGCAAGTCCTGCAGCACCCCTGTGTCCTGCAGGTTGGCCAGGAAAGTGGCAGCCAACAGCAACCACGTCCCTTTTGCTAAGATTCCAGACGCTGAGCTAATCAATCATTAATCTCTAGACAGAAGCGAGGGCAGTCATCCTTGGCCCTCAGAGATAAAATGATATCAATCAAGGTAAATAGACACCCTGGGAAAAATGGGACAAATGGAGGAGATTTTAATCATTAACTTTGTCAAACTGCAAAAGAATCAGTGTACACATAGCTTATTTACCACTGCTGCTTTTGGCAAAAATTTGTTTAGTGTATTGGTGGGTACATTCCTCCCCCCTCTTCATGGAGTGGCGTGTCTGTTTGGACATTCCCTGCCCTTCTCATGTGTAAGTGGAAACTTGGAGGCTATCTCTCTCTTCCTCTCTCTCTCTCCATCCCTCCTTTCTTCCCTCCCTCTCTGTTTAAAACTACTACAAATGTGGATTGCCTTAAAATATTGCAAACTAGGTGTTTTAAGTAATGAGGAAAAAAGAGTGCGAAGCCAGTTTATCACAATTGTCCAAACCCATAATTTAATACTATAAAATTTATTGAAGGTGATGGGTTAGTATTTTTTGTGCTATATTACACTTTTTGAAGCTGACACATTTTTATTTTAACTCTTGAAGCAAGGCAAGTAATAACTGGAGAGATTGAATGACTCGCCCCAAATTACAAAAGTTAATGGTGAATTTTAGACTTCTACAGCTAATTTAAGTATTTTCTATTAAGAACATACAACTTGTTTATCTTGGGGTACTGTAACCTGAGCCCTCACCGTGGCTGTGTAGAATGTGGAATTCAGTATCTCCACTTTATGGGAGAGAGAACAAAGCCCCAGACAGATCCTGTGATGTGCCCTGAGAGGCACAGGTAAATTTCAATTATTCATTGGAATCAGGTCAGCTCCTGGTCCTGGAGGGGTCCTCTTTTTAGGGAACAGGGTCTGAGGGGTTGGGTACACAGGCTCTAGAATCAAATTCTTATTCAGCTCTTACTGGTTGTGTAACTTTGGGAAATTATTTTCTAAGTCTCATTTCTGTCACATGCAAAGTGGTGATAATGCTTAATACCTTTGTCACAAGATTGTTGTGAGTTTTAGGATAAGCGTGTGCAGATTTACTATAACATCAAGCACGTGGTAACATGCATCAATGTGATCCATTAGTCTTATTCCAGTTACTAGCACTTTCTTCACCGGCTCTCCAAATTTGTATCGGAGAAGATCACTGAAATTAATGAGGTGTGGACACTTCACATATAAATGATCTAGAATTGTATTATGAATTTAGTAACCAAGGATTAACTACATAGGCAGTTACATTTTTAGTCAGATCCTCCATCTATCTTAAATACTTGGGTGTGAAGTTCAGAAAATAGAGTTTTAGTTGGAAAAGGGTAACTAAGCAAAGCAAAACAATCTCTGTAAGGTCCTAGGAACCCCATCTGGTGAAGGAGATCGTGCTAGAGGAAATAATGGGGAGATAGCTTTGCTATTCAAAGAATGACTTCTGCCTATTACAAATCTTCCAGACTTTTCCTTTTGCTAAACTTATAGTTTACTTTGCAAGTTAATTTATAGTAGGAATAAAATATTTGTTAATTATTTGGAAGCAAAGAACTCTCAACAAATATCAGACTTTAATTTTCTGAGAAGCCCAGGACTCAGAGAATAACTGTTAACTTATTGCAGTTTTTATTTAAGATAATATAACATACGTACTTTTGTAGGTTTTTATTTAACAGTTGAAATTTCAGTCATCATCTGATGATCAATTCATTCAAACATGCAGCTAATTGTTTCCTGTGATTTTGCTAAAGAGTTTAAGTCCAAACTGTCTTTTCAATTTTTTTAAAAATTATAACTTTATCTCTGCTTTTGCAACAATATCTACCACTTTTGTTTAATGATAAACTACATGTAGCAAGAATTGCAACATCTTTTAGGTGTCCTCTTGAGAAATGTCTACACTAGTTGCCAAATGCCTTCTCTTGGCTGAATTGATCTTTTTGTAACTGAAAATGGCACTCACATGCTAGTCTGCAGCTGAATACATGCGACAGTCTGATTTATGTAACTCCTTAATCTTTCAAATGTTGATTGCTTCCATTTATTCTGACACTGGAAAGATAAAGTCATAACTGACCTAAGTGAGAAGTCGTTGTAATGACTGCTCTGGTACGTCAGATGAGGGGAAAAACAGGCGAAAAGACCAAGTCAAATCTGACACTCCCTTACAGCCGCAGCTGCCGCAATTCAGAAATTTATTACAGAAATAGATTTGTAAAGAATTATGAAATATTTAAGCTCTGGAATTTTACAGGAATTGTTTTGCCCATAAAAAATGATATGAAGTGGTCTCCCTCTTCTTTGTCTATCTTGTCATTGGCTTCAAGAGAAACTTTGGTTCTTTCCTAACCAAGGGGAAGTCTAGGCAAAATCAAGAAAGAAAGCCTGTCGGTCTTTAGTTTGTTTCCTGTAATGTTCCTCTCTTCCTGCTGAGGCTGCTTAGAAACTCTTGCAATGTCGTGTTGCTATTCTGTATGTGGTGTGTCTTTTTTCTCTGATTTTCCTCCCAGATTATCTCCTTACCTTTGGTTTTCAGTAATCATCCTCTGGGTATAGTGTTGTTCCTTTTATATCTGTCTTGATAAGGGTTCATGGAACTTGAACCTATAAGTCAGTATTTTTCACCATATTTGTAAAATGTTCAGCTGTTGTTTTTGAAGGACCTTTCTGCACTGTTCTCCTTCTCCTCTCTTTGGGGCTGGAATTACTCATGCTGCCAACAATGTATTCGACTGTTTCAGGTGATCCTGCATGTCTCTGAGGTTCTATTCTGTTTCTTTGACCTCTGTTCTCTCTGTCATTCAGTTCGGATAACTGCTGTTCTTTCATGTGAAGTTCATTACTCTCTAGTCTCTAATGTCATTCATGAATTCAGCATTTTTCAGTTTTAGAATTTCTACTTGAATTTCAGTTTCAGAATTTCTATTTTTCATGATTTCATGTTGTAGGTGAGATTCTGTGTACTCATTAAGAACATGTTTGCTTTGAATTCTTCAGACATATTCTTTAAATCTTTTCCCATATTAATAAAAGCTTTTTTGTAGTCTTTGTTCTACTACATGTTGTGTTTGGGCCATCTCAGAGTCGGCTTTTATTGACATTTTTACCTGAATTATGGGTGATATTTTTGTTGTTTTCATATTTAGTAATTTTTTCACTATACACTGGACAAGCACCGTGAAAACCTCTTTTGACAGTTTGATATGGTTTAATTTCAATTTTTAAAATTCTCTATTATATAACAAGTTGTTTTCACATTTTTCTCATTCTTGATATCTCAGAGTTTAATTACTACTATCCAGACATCATTTTGACTGAATTGAATTGATTAGATTGCTATCCAGTTGCTACCCAGTTCAGCGAAACCATTAGGAATACTAGAAAATGTGACCTAGATAGAAAGAGATCTAATGAACTTGGCTTTAGGCCATACCTATACTCTAATTTGTTTGGGGAGAATAAGAACCAGAAAAGTTGTTTTCTGGTAACAGAAATTTTCATTCTCATTCTATTTCTAACCTAGTTTCTTATTTTTAATTTATTCTGTTATAGTTGTTCTACCTTTTTGCCCATTGCTCACCCCTGCCCCATCCCCCCCGCTCCCACGGTCAGCCCCTCTCCCAGTGGTCCATGCCCGTGGGTGCTCTGTCCGTGTTCCTTGGCTTGTCCTTTCCCTTTCTTTCCCCCGTTAACCCCCGACCCTCTCTCCTCTGGGCACTGTCAGTTTTTTCCTTATTTCCAAGTCTCTGGTTCTGTTTTCTAACCTAGTTTCTTTAAAAGTTGGAATCTATGGCTATTTATTAGGAAGTTCACTTCTGATTTTCATTTCAGATGTGGAGATTTTAAATAGGTTAATATATAATAATCAATGATAATTGATAACTTATTTCTTCTTTTTCTACTTTATTTAAGCTACTGCCTTGTGAATTCCATCTGAGGTTACACTCTGAAAAATGAGTCCAGTTAAATATAAAAGAATATAGTGCAATACAAACACTGGCTATTTCTTTATCTATTTATATGTATCTTTGTCGTTTTACTTCATATGTCTGGGACTCTGTTGCATTCCCACAAAGAAAATTTGGTGTAAATTTATAGCTCTTAAAAAAAAACAGTCTCTTTGGCAATACGAATAGATAGAGATGAATACTGATACCATCTACAATATCATAAACTTCAATATTGCTTTGCAGTTTACACTCACTTTCCTATACTTATTCATTTGCTCTGGATAGAAATTTGTGTACTGGTAGGCAGACCATTATAAATTTACAAATAAGGAAGCTGAGGCTCAAAGAGTACCAGTGGTACACGAGATTCCTTGATGTTAGGACATAGAACCTGACTCCAACAGCAGAGTGTTTCCCACTGACCAGATCAGCCCAGAGCGTCAGATAACATCAGTAGAGAAGGTAGAGGGCTTTCTCCTGGTAGAGTAAGCAATCTCTTAGAACAGTAAGAAGAGCATGAGCTTCTGTTACAGGTAAACATTGACATGCAAGCTTGACTACGTAACCTCTATTAATACAATAACACACTGAGTTTAATAATAGCCATTTAAATGGAAAAATTTACTCAAAGCATCTAGCCAAGAAACAAACTTTGATTCAAAACACACACATAATATCCCTTCTGTTTTGTGAGAGTTATTACCACGGGTCAATTCTTGGCTGATGAAAATGGAGGCTGCTGGATAAACACTTTTTCCCCTTAATCTCTCAGAGGGGCAATTCTGAGATATATTTTATATGGCTCCACTGGGGCTTCCCAGCATGACTGAACCTTACAGAGACAATCAACTTGCTTACAAACCCCAGAATTGCCTTTCTCTGCCTCCCTGGGGTATGCTTCCCAGTCTCCTACTGTTTCTAGGATTACATTACAAAATAATGACTTATAGGCATGCACTTGACTCAGGGTCTGCATTTTTGGGGGAAGGGTAATTCTGGCTAATACCCGTCCTGTTGAAGTGAGGGATGGCCATACATGGAAGCACTGGAGGTCCCT